CGGGTCTTGTAAATATTAACGGGTTCGAGTTCGAGTTTGCTTCAAACCCGACCCGACCCGACCCTTACGGAGCACTATGCATATCTTTACTAATTATTGCATCCCACTAATAATACATAATACACGTTCTCCTTTAGAATCGTATGCATGACCATTTTTTCTCTTTACAAATAATTTAATTCTTTCGATTGATGTGCGAAATTTGAACGAGTTCACGATCCATGGAATGGATTAGACCTGATCAACATTTAATACATAAAATTGGGTCTTTACCAAATTTAGAAAATGATTGGTATAAATAGAAATTTTATTTTTTCTTAATATAAATAAATAAATGAATGAAATTCTTTAAATATTAAATTTAATTTAAATTAGATTATACTTAATATAATTTATATTTATATATTACTAATCAATCATTTAAATTAAATTAAATAAAATATTTATAGTTAGTAGAATTTATTCAAAATAAAAGTATGCTTTATATTTAATATCTTTAAAGACAAATAAAAAATAAAATAGAGATTTATACACTATAAATATGATTTAAATTAATTTTTTTATTATTGTATAATATATTTCAGTAAAAAATCAAAAAATATATTACTTAGTAAATAAAGTAATTTAAAGTTTTGATAAATTCTTCTTATAAATATATATATGAAGATAGAGTAAAATTTTATAATATCACTTATAATTAGCAAATTGGTTAATCATTTATGATTAAGAGATTATAAAAGCAATATTTCTTTCATATTATTTATTTTCAAATATAAGAGCAGTTTTATTTAGTCAATAAAATACAATGTGTAATGACTTTATTAACATAATATATCTAAGTTAAATTGGGATGATAACAATATACTATGAAAAAGAAATTTAAATAGTTTTTACTGCACTGCTCATTTTTCATGTAATTATAACTGCAATTTAAAAATTAATATTATGAAGACAATAAAAGCCAGACTTACTGCTACAAAGGTCGAGCTTGAAACTAAAGTATAAAATAGGAATTACATATAATACATATTGGTAAATCAAATTTGATTGGTTGAATCTGGGCTCCGCAGGTCCAGGATCACAAATTTTATGGTAAGGCAGTAATGGCATTTGGCCAAAACGGCCAATATTTAAATAATAAATATAATTTAATTGACAGGCCGCGGCCAAAATATTTGGCCATTCGCCCATGACCAAACAGTCAATGTCCCGCCGTAAGATAACCGATAATATGAATTTTCTAATTTCTTAGTAGTTTAACAAGACTCCTAATTATTAAACAAAACAAATCAAAGCCACTACAAGAACTTTCTGAATCAAATAGTAATAATACCTGATTCACATGATTTTTATACTTTATACAAAGAAATATTATCTAGCAATAAATTCAAGTAATATCATTCTTTGATGTGTATGACCGATTAATATATAATATAGATATATACGACAATCATAATATATATGTAAACTTTGTTCAATAAATCATTTTGTATTTACTCTTTTCTCTTGCAAAGAATTTTTTCTAATAAATCAGCAACGTGTCTATGTTATTATTATTAACCTCGCTTTGGATAAATAGGAAAAGGGCTCACTTTTATAAAAATATATTATTTGATGAGTGTTCGTAATAAATGCCCAACGTTTCCAACGTTTGAAGAGAAACTTGAATTTGAGAAAAACGTTCGAAAAATTATGTGACAAGTTTTTATCACATTAACTAATAACTTTGCCTTTTGTTTTTGTTCTTTTAACCCAATTTAAGTGTACTATCGAATATTAATTAAGCTATTTAATATTATGATTTAAATTATGTTATAATAAATATCAATAGATACTCCATAACTTTGAATTCTACTTTTCTTTCGTGTTTCAGATTTTGCGAAAGTATTATAATTCTTTGACTCTTCATGTAAAAGAAGTAAGATTCACAATAATCGTAAAATGAACATTATAACTATTATTTTATAGAAGAAAAATTTTCTAGTAATTTTTCAATCATTTGGTTTTGCATAAAAACTAATAAAGCATAATTTTATCGAATTTTTAGGATTTCGTATAAAATGCAGAAAGGCCCGTAATTTGAAAATTTTGGCGGAATATACGGTATTATCTATTAAAAAATTCGATAGTAAATTTTTATATGATACCATATTGTTTTGATTTAATTAGTTTTATCATATATCACAGCAATAGGATCGTGCAATATCATGTGATCCATGATTAATCTCAATTTTTTTAAAATGGACTGAACTGATAATCTTAATTATTCTTTTTGAAATTTTCTTTTAGCGAAAATGGTTTCTAATAATACGTTTTGTTTGTTTCAACGACATTCTCAAATTATTATACGTATGGTTCGTACAAATCTTAAAACGAACCTTACTTCAAAAAACACGCAATATTTTCCAACTTCTAGATACTTCCACATTACAACTCAAATTCCTTCAAACTTTTCATTAACTAAACAAAAACCTTTGTTTATACCTTCAAAACTTTTATTTACTAATCCATATCGAAAATTAGTTTCTCCTGTTAATGTATCAGCCTTAGCATTACGAAGAAATTCTGTCAAAACAACAACACCTAAAACATCCATGTCCGCTGATACTACAGCCATCAAGTTTACCAAACCTATTGTTGGTTATTGGTTACTTGGAACAGCAGGATTAGTCTTTGGAATTGTTGTATTTGGAGGCCTTACTAGGTTAACTGAAAGTGGACTTTCGATTGTTGAATGGAAACCAATCACTGGCGTAATTCCTCCTTTAACAAACGCTCAGTGGAATCAAGAATTTGAAAATTACAAACAATTTCCAGAGTATAAATTGTAGGTATGTTACTTTAATTAATGATATATATATATATATTAAATTAAAAATTTTTTTTTATCAGTTTAATTCGTGTTCTTTTTATTGTAGATTGAATTATGAAATGGCGTTGCCAGAATTCAAATATATTTATTTCATGGAATGGACTCATCGAGTTTGGGGCCGTGCTATTGGATTAGCATTTATTATACCAGCAACATATTTCGGATTTCGTGGGTATATTTCTAAAGCAACACTAAATAAAGTCATTGGACTTGGAGGATTGCTTGGATTTCAGGTAAGTTTACTTTCCTTTATATTCCCGACCTACATTTGATTTGGTAATTTGATTGATTTATAGGGGGTATTAGGATGGTACATGGTTAAATCTGGATTGTCTGAAGAATTGATGGCAACTCCAAATGCAGTTCCCCGCGTTAGTCATTATCGATTAGCTGCACATTTAGGAAGTGCATTCCTGCTTTATGCAGGTATGCTTTTAACCGGATTACAGGTTTTACAAGATGCAAAGGTTGCAAACGGTACATTTTCAAAAGTAAAGTATTTCAGATCTTTTTTTTTTAAAAAAATAATAATAATAATATAATAATAATAATTTCTTTATTTAAAAAATCTTATTCTGTAGACTGTTGCTAAAGCGTTGGCTAATCCAGCAATTAATACTTTTCGTCGATTTGCAATTGGCACAGCAGCTTTGGTGTTTCTAACTTCCATGTCTGGTGATTACAAAAATGCTTAATTTTCAAAAAAGTAAAATCTTTTATAAAATTTCTAACACCTTTAAATTTAGGTGCATTGGTTGCCGGGTTGGATGCAGGATTGATCTATAATGAATTTCCGTTTATGGGGAAAAGCATTGTTCCACCAAGTTCAGAGTTATTTTCAAAATTTTATGCAAGACCTGGTGATAGTATTTTATGGAGAAATTTTTTTGATAACCCAACAACTGTACAATTCGATCATAGAGTATTAGTAAGTTTTACATAATACCTTTTATATATATATATAGTTTATACCTAAATCTAATTAATTAATTTCTTATAATTTAGGGTGTAACAACACTTAGTGTTATTACAACATTGTGGCTTTATTCAAGAAAAGTACCATTACCACCACAAGTTAAACTTGCTGTAAATCACTTACTTGGTATAGCAAGTTTACAAGTTATTTTGGGAATTGGTACTTTGATTTATATGGTGCCGATTCCTTTGGCATCTGTTCATCAAGCTGGTAGTTTAACATTACTATCTGCTGCTTTGTGGTTAATACATACCATGAGAAGAATACCTATTAAAATATAATATTATAGAAAGATTAAGTTAATTTAAGAATCATTATTTAAGTAATTTTAAAAATTGCTAGTTTTTAAAAGTTACAATAAAATATTGATAAAATAGAAAATATCAAGTATTGAATTTATATATATTTAAAACCAGACAAGTGAACATGCGTAACAAATAATTTCAAGGGGGGTTTGATTGCATTCCCTACATCATTAGCTTGACATAGCTTAGCCAGTTCAAATGCTACGAGTTCTCCATTTTTAGTTTCCTCTTTAACAAATTCTTGCATTAAGGTTTGCCCTCTATAATTTGGTTACGAGTGACTTTGCTATGTCCTCCACCTCCTTATCAGAAACTTTATCTTACTTGGGGTCATAATCTGTGTCAAAAGTCATCATCAAATGATCGTGGTCAAGACCTTCATCCACATTATTGCAGTCTCTGTTTTTATTAATATCAATTTAATATCATAATTAATTAGTTTAGGGATTGGACCGACTTTTGGTCACCCGGATCACCCGCATTAAATCGGATTGACCCGGATTTGACAACCCAGGTGATAAATTAGGAGACGGTTCCGACAACTGTTATTAATTGTACATAATGATAATCTAGCCAATTACATTTGATTAATTCGTCAGGTGACCACCAGAAGTGATAGTCAATCAAAAGAGAACTTCAAATTATGCTCTCTAATCAAAAAGCAGGAAATAAAAAAGCAGTATAATGAAAAAAAAAAGCAATGTTACAAGAAAATAACTTTATAGTAAAGTGTGTGTTGTCAAAAGCATCAAATTTGTCATTGATGAAGCAAGTAAAGAAAACACTAAGCTATTAGAAAATGATAAATTTTCTTACAAGCAATAACACTAGCAAGAAACAAAGAAGTGGTAGCAGTAAACCTGAAAATTTTACCTGATAAGTGAAAAGTTTACATCACTAACAATAATACTTGGCTTGATAAAGGTTTTAAGTATATCAACAAAAATAAAAAAACCCTTAACAAATGTATCTAAAAATGCTTTCATATTATTCAATCAGTCATATAAAAGAAATAATATAAAAGATTATATTTTTTATAATAAAGTACTATTTAATTAAGCTTGGATATAGGTTGAACTAAAGATGGGAACTGTAATTAATATGTTGCAACTTTTAATGTTGCAACTTACGTTGCAATTAGTTTTAACCTATATATGTTGCAACTTATAATGTTGCAACATATGTTGCAACTAATTTTAGCTTATATTGCAACATTTTGTAAATTTGAAATCAATTGCTGTACCATCTTTAGGTTGAACAGACAAATTTAGTAAAGATTTAACTAATGAAAAGGTAAAATAAATAAAGTATATATTTAGTTTTTCTTAGATTTTATTAAAAGAATTTTTTTTCTTCTTTCAATATGCTAAAATAAGAGTAAAATAAATCTGAAGCTATTTAGTATTGCTTCTTACTAATAAACCAATTATTAATAAGTTTAACAAAAACAAAACTTGATCCAAACAGAAAATGTTTTACCAATACAAATTGATTCAAACATTTTATCAATTCCAATTAACTTTAGAAATAATTATCGAAATGAATCACTTCCCTTTTACTGAAAGATAAAACAAACATGATATTATTAATCCTAAAATTATTAATATCAATAAGATATATAATAGCTCAAAAAATTTCTTAATAATATAACTAAGTTTTTTGAAGAAATTATAATAGAATTATATTTAAAATTTTGCTGAAACTAATCATAGAATTTTAAAAAAGTTTAGATAAGTATCCTTAAATATAATAAGATATAATAATATTTCTTTATTAAACTTTATATTCTATTAATAAAAGGATTCTTTAAATACTTTTATAAATATGTCTACTTTTACTTTAGAACAATTTAAAGATTTTTGTTCATATGACTTACAAACTTTTCCAAACTTAATACTATTATTATCCTAGAACTCAAAGATAGAGATGAAATCATTGCTTAAATATCTCAATTTCTTAACTACAAAAATTTTCTGGCTAGTTTGAAAACTAAATAAAGAATATAACAAACAATATAAATATATTACAAATTGTTTAACATCTGCACTACTACAGTATTTAAACCAGAATAGCTAGTTTTAATTATTTTATGGGTTTAAAGTAGTTCATAACAATTTAATAATTTATAGTGATTTTATTGATTTACAGTTAAACCTCTATGTAACGATACAGCTGTTTTAAGAAAAAAATATCGGTATCTCAAGTTATCAGTATATTAAGAAAATTTTATATACCGATATTACTATAATTTGTTGATCAATATCGGTATAAAATAA